AGTATGTCTAATAATTAAAAAATTTGCTTAAAATATTTAAAAAAAATCAATAAAAACAAACCCAAAAAAACACAGAAAACAAGAAAGTAAAATTTTCTTAGAAGTGTTTTTGGCAAACCAAAAACAAGCAAGTTGTTTTTTTTTTCACATAATTTTTTTTTTAGTTTCTTCAATTTGAAAGTTGATATTTTAAAGTTTTGAAAATCAAAATAAACGTCAAACTATCGTGTTCCTTTATAGATAATCATAAATGATGAACAATCATTGTTTGAAGGGCAATTCCGACTATTAAAAATTTAATGGGACTTGAAGGTCCAAAAAATCTTAATTATGATAAGTTTATAAATTAGGACTTGTGTCCAAATGTTCCTAAATTTTAAAATCCTTCAAATTTATTCTCTTCCAAATAACACCAAAATTATCTTTATGAAAATTCCACCCCTACTCAAATGCACGCCCCCCACACCCCTAAAAGCCATAATCTCCCAAAATCCTAACAAAAAAAACTCCACAAAGTTCATTCTCTCTCTCACGACGACAGAAGAAAAATATTTCTAAAGTGAATCGACCGTCGTAAGGAACATGTTCTCTATGATATATATTTTTTTTTCTTCTTCGCATTAGATGGGCGTATCTTCCTTCAATTCCATCAATTTCTTTTATCAGCCCTAAACCCTAAAAACAACGAATATATATATATATATATATAGTTCAAATGGAGCAAATTTGTATTTTGCTCAGTCTTAATCTCGCTCATCTCCCATCCCCCAAAGTCTCTCTCCTCTCTCTTTCACTGAAAATGTTCGAACCTGTGTTCCCAAACAAATAAGCTATATTCGAACTTGTATTCCTAGACAAATAACCAATGTTCGGATATGTTTTTCAAGAACCTTACCCTTACAAGACCAACCTTCTCCGAACTGAGAACACCATCAAAGCTATGAATCTCTTCTAAACTTATATTGTTGAACTCCTCTCGTCTCATAAAGTTATGGTTACTGGAAAAACTCATTGCCATTGCTGGAGAAATGTGTTTAATTGATAGGTTGCAACCGTTGTCACTGGAATATCACCGCTAGAGGGTTTTCAAGGTTTTGAAGGTGAGATTTGAAGATTGATGGGTGGTGATGGAGATGATACTCTCATGAATCATATCCCATGATTTAGTGAGTGTGGACTTAATTGTAAGATATGTGTTTTAGAGATAAAAAGTACGAAAACATGTTTGGTTTGGTTTTTTTTTAAAAGATGTTTTGGAAAATTATTTTGAGATAGAGTTTTGGAAAAAGTGATTGATTTGATGTGTGTGTGAGAGAGATTTGTTTGGAAAACTTGTTTGGTTTACAAGTTTTGGGAAATTTTTTTGAGAAAATTTGTTTGGTTTGATTATTTTTGAAAACTTATTTGTAGAGAAAATTTCCCAAATTTTTTTCAGAAAATCAAACCAAACGAGCCCTATGGTGTCTCAAAATTATTGATGTCCTCTTTAATAATTTCATTTAAAATTATTATTGTAATAAAAAAAAAGTCAAAAATAGAGATTCAAAATAATAAATAAAATACTAATAGCAGCATTCTTGCTTTTGAGGTTTTGATTATTAAGGCCAAGTTTGGCTAACCTAAAAAAGTGCACTTATTTCATCTTTTTATTTTTTTTAATTCACATCAATCAACATCTCCTCTCTACTTTTTCTACACATAATACAAAAAAAAATCAAAAAATGCACTTATTTAATTTTCTCAAACTTGACCTAAAAAGTCTAACCGCATAAACGATTGAACACAGAAATTGTACATCCGATCGGCCACCGGTCACTTCCTGGTCGAGCTGCTTCTGCACGGTCCGGGGCAGCACACAGACCAAACTCTGCCCGGCCCAACTTCTGGTAGCCCATTTCCGAGTGCACAGTCGATCATCTCGGCCCAATGCTCTGCTGGGCCCTCAACTTGTTCGGTCTATACCTCGGCCCAACACCGGAGCATAAATCACCCTCTCAGTTATGGTTACTGGAAAAACTCATTGCCATTGCTGGAGAAATGTGTTTAATTGATAGGTTGCAACCGTTGTCACTGGAATATCACCGCTAGAGGGTTTTCAAGGTTTTGAAGGTGAGATTTGAAGATTGATGGGTGGTGATGGAGATGGATACTCTCATGAATCATATCCCATGATTTAGTGAGTGTGGACTTAATTGTAAGATATAGTGTCTCAAAATTATTGATGTCCTCTTTAATAATTTCATTTAAAATTATTATTGTAATAAAAAAAAAAAGTCAAAAATAGAGATTCAAAATAATAAATAAAATACTAATAGTAGCATTCTTGCTTTTAAGGTTTTGATTATTAAGGTCAAGTTTGGCTAACCTAAAAAAGTGCACTTATTTCATCTTTTTATCTTTTTTAGTTCACATCAATCAACATCTCCTCTCTACTTTTTCTACACATAATACAAAAAAAGTCAAAAAGTACACTTATTTGATTTTTCCAAACTTGACCTAAAAAGTCTAAGCGCATAAACGATTGAACACAGAAATTGTACATCCCATCGGCCAAACAGACGATCGACCAAACTTGTCAACTTCAACTATCATAATGTTGACTGTGACTGCCATTTTGTCTTTCGGTAGAACAGTTTATGTGTTTGATCATGCGTAGCATTGCTATTTTGTTATATAATATATGTTGTCACGTCAAATGCATTACCCTTGCTATCAAGGAACACCTGTCGCATTAATGGCGGAAGCTCAATGGGTGAAATGAATTGAGGGTAAACTTGCCTTTTCATCAAAATAAAAAAGTGATTTATTTCTGCCCATGAACATGCCAATCCATGTTGGTTGTTCGGCTTTTATAGTATAAAACAAACTTAAACATCAACTCCAAATTGCTTACTCGATCATTTTGTTGGTTAACAATGTCTTGACTCATAAGTATTGCGTCCAACATTTCACATAAGATTTATGACTTCCCTTACTAATTTACACATTTTTAATAAACTTACATTATTTTTCTTTTTTCTTCTTTTTTTGAGTGGACTAATTTACACTACAAACATTTCAACCAAAAAAAAAATAGGCAGTAGCTTCCCTCCGGTCCCAGATCGGACTGGAGAGTGTTGTTGAGTCCGTGGGGGTCTACCACGGATCTCGTTTCGATAATCGGAACCATTCAATATGTAAAACTTGTCAAGTACTATATGTATGTAAAAAATCACGTTGATCGGATATCGATAGTTACGTAATCAAATCAATTTTGTATAAAAAAAAAGGACAGTGGAAAAATAAACGATTGACAAAACAATGATCTGATAAGATAGCTATTGATATCCAATCAATGTGATTTTTTACAATCATATAATACTCAACGAGTTCTACACATTAAACGGTTCGGATTATCGAAATAGAACCTGTGTGGTAGTTCCCCACGAACCCAACAACACCCTCTAATCCAATTTGGAACTGGAGAAAGCCAGGCCCAAAAAAAAAACTCTAATAATAAAAACCCAGCATGGTATGAGAATACAAAAATATTCGTATACAAAGTTCAAATTCCAACATATTATAACTTTACCCTTAATTGCCTGTTTTGAATCATTTTTTTATTCTAATAATTTTTTCAAAATCTATCCATTCAAAATTGTCTAGCGCTTACGCAAAAAACATGTATATATATACATATTATTTTATTATTTTGATTGACCAAAAAATCATTCTATTTACTTTTTTTTAGGGGTGATTTGAGATGTTCTAAATAAGTACACTTTTTGACTTTTTATAAAAAAAAAATATGTAGAAAAGTAGAGAAAGTGGGTAGAAAAGTAGAGAGGAGATGTTGATTGATGTGATCCAAATAAGTATATGTATGCAAAAAAATACACTTTTTTAGTACATGCCAAACAAGTACAAAATATTGATCTTGCTTGAAATACCTTGAAAAAACAACTCCACAAATATCAATTTTATTAAAAAAGAATTTGTAAAACTCAAGTTATGCAGTTTTCAGCACAAACTAAACAGAAAGATAAATTTGCCCAACACAAAATGCATGTAGGCCATGTTTATTTTCATAAATAAGGCATGAGATTGAGACTAATTGTAAATAGGAGCCACTACAATTCTGTTTGTTTGCTACTAGTTCCAATGGACTGTGAATCCCATAAACGGAGGGGATCAGAAAAGGTATTGAGATAAGGAGGGGATTAGGAAAGGTATTTGAGATAAGATATTAAGATTTTAATCCGCTGATATTAACTTGAAAAAACTGCTTGTTGCTCCTACCTAATTTACTTACTCCACTCACTCACCATTTTTTTTTTTTTAATTCTTCCACCTTTTTTGTTTCTTTTTTAATTCTTCCACCATTCTTTTTTTTTTTTCCCCCTCCACCATTCCTTGTCTCCTACCATTCTTTATATAAAAATAATTTAATAGAAAAATATAATAATATTTATAAATAATATAACAAATATTTATACCAAAAAAATTAATAATATAATACCAAAAAAAGTAATATATATATAAAACATAATTTTTAATATTAAAATATATCAAAACACTAAGGCCATGTTTGTTTGGGCGGACTGGATTAGCATTCCCATGACTAATAGTCCTAGGATGACGAATCAGTTGGATTATGTATCCTATCTTAACTAATAGTCAAGTTTAAAATAATTAGTCCGTACTTCAATTGTTTAACCAAACATCGGATTAATAATTTTATTGGACTATTAGTCTAATCCCAAGCTCATGTCCACCCAAACAAACATGACCTAAAGGTATTTATAAAATTTCATATCATATAGTTAATCCCATCATAGAATGACAAAACAAACAAGAATTTTTACTAGTTTGATGGTCATCAAACTAACAACTTTTCATCCTACCACATTAATAATTTTCTCACTAATAATCCCCCCACACTAACAATTCCACCCAACTTAAATCTAAAAATAAATGGACTATCAAGAATTTAGCGCCTGAAGTGACTGAAAAATAAGTTTGAAAATTGAATTTATGGCCTAAGCACCCTAATTTTCTATCACTATTTTATATCACCATCTACATAAATACTTATGAATAGTTTTTTAGTTTGAAGATAATTATTAAAAAAATTAATACCTTTCCACATAGCTGGTGATATAAAAGAGAAAAAAATAATAATAAATAAAATAAAATAAAAAAGTAATACATAGCAGAACTGATTGCTAATTATTTTACGGAGTTTCTTGCAAGCTACCAAGTTTAGAGAGAGAGAGAGAGTCATGGATAGCAAGCAACACAGTATCTTAATGTTGCCATGGTTAGCTCATGGCCATATATCACCCTTCTTGGAGCTAGCCAAGAAACTCTCACAGAGAAACTTTAATGTATACTTATGTTCTACACCAATCAATCTAAAACACTTCAGAGAAACCCTTTCTCTCAACCTATTATCATCCTCGATACAACTCATAGACATCCACCTTCCTTCCTCACTAGACCTTCCTCCTCACTACCACACCACCAAAAACCTCCCTTCCCACCTCCTATCTGCCCTCATAACCACCTTTGACGACGCCAAACCTGCTTTCTTCACCATCCTCAAGACCCTTAAACCCGACCTCGTCATCTACGATTTCCTACAACCATGGGTCCCAATAGTGGCTCATGAAGAAAACATAGAGGCTGTTCTTTTCCTGACATGTAGCGCGGCAAGCTATTCTGTTTTAACTCACTGCATCAATGATCCAAACAAGGATTCCCCTTTTCAAGAACTCAATTTCTCGAAAGATCAGGGCGATAAAATCATTTGGTTTCTAGATTACACTTCGAATGGTGTCACAAACAAGGAAAGGTTCCTAGGATGCATCGAAAGGTCTTCGAGCTTCGTGTTGATCAGGACATCAAACATAATCGAGGCCAAGTATGTTGATCATTTCTGTGGTTTAGTGAGTAAAGAGATTGTTCCAGTTGGGCCTCTCGTTCAGAACCCTACAAGAAATGGTGATGATGAAGTGATTATGGAGTGGTTGGACAAGAAAGAGGTTAGTTCCGCTGTGTTTGTTTCCTTTGGGAGTGAGTGTTTTCTTTCCAAACAAGAGATTGAAGAGATAGCTCATGGGTTAGAGCTCAGCACAGTGAGTTTCATATGGGTTGTTAGGTTTCATGGAGGAGAGAAAACTAGGGTTCTTCATGAAGTCTTACCAGAAGGATTTTTGGAGAGGATTGGAGATATGGGTATGGTAGTAGAGGGGTGGGCCCCACAGGCAAAGATTTTAGGGCATCCAAGCGTTGGTGGATTTATGAGTCACTGTGGTTGGGGTTCAACCTTAGAGGGTGTGATGCTTAGTGTCCCAATCATAGCAATGCCTATGAACGTTGACCAGCCCTTCAATGCCAAGTTGGTGGTGGAGATTGGTGTGGGCAAGGAGGTCAAGAGAGAGAATGAGAATGAAAGGTTTAAGAGAGAGGAAGTGGCAAGATTGATCAAACAAGTGATGGATCAAGAAGATGGGAAGGAGGTGAGAACGAAAGTTAAAGAAGTGAGTGAGAGGATGAGAGAGAAAAGTGGAGAACAGTTTGATTTGGTGATGGAGAAATTGGTGCAGATTGTTAGGAAATCATAGAGCTTTGGGAAATTTTTCAACAAATTGTACTTCTTTCACAAAAGTTTTATGCAGTTGGAATTGTTGTTCAGATCGTGACTGAGAGAGAGACTCGGTATTCTGCAACAACTTTTAGTTGATCAATTTTACATTTTGGCCCTTACAATAACTGCTAAATAAGAAAAAAATATATAATATTGTTGAGACTTTCTAAGGATCAAAACTGTGGCAGTATTCATATCAAAGGTATGATGTGTTTTATATAATAGAATAGATTAACAATATATGGTGATAGTAGGATAAAATAAAAAATTTGTGAAAATTTTGGACTTCTTGAATATTTTTCTTAGAATTGTTGGCATCTAAGAAGAGATACTAATAAAAATATATATTGATTGATGTATGCATTATTTATTTAATCGAAATTTTGAGATAGAATAAAACTATAGATTACTTCATTTATACCTGCATTTTCTAGTGGAGTGAGAATGAATATGGTACTCTTGGGCAATATCCCAATAGTCCGAGGTGTGTGCAGAGTAAATATTAAATATAACAATAATATCGCATGTCTATTACTAGTTAAACAAAAATTTCATATTACAATAGTAGGGACTAGTTGGTTGGATTAGTGGGAGACAAAGGCTGTCCACCTAATCTCATTTGCAATATTTTATTGATAGCTAACACCACATAAAATTATAAAATAGTTGCACTCAATATTTGTTTTAGGTCCAATTTGACTGGGTTAAAAAAAAGGAAAAGGTATCAATAATCAAACGACTATGTATTCTATTTCAACATTCGTTATAGGCTCAATTTGAATAGGTCAAACAAAAGGAAAAAGCATCAATAATCCAATATGTATTCTATTTCAAATATTGCGAATGTAGAAAGAGCCAAAAAAGGTGACATATAGCGTGACCTAAAATTGTAAGCACAGGTCTAATAATTCAAATGAGACTACATAAAAATATTTATATGCATAACAATATGACTACATAAAATACATAGTTGTTAGTCATTAATTTGACTTTAATATCATATAAGCCAATCACATGCTGAACGTAGCTTTTTCTTAGTTATCAAATAAGGCAAATAAATCCATTTTCAATACACAGTAAACTTTTTCAAAAGAACAAACTCAATTATTCACCTAATCAACTAAATAAACTAAACGAAATCATTTAATAACACCACCAATTAAGGGCATTAGGCTTACAAAGAACTATCAACAAGTCTTTTAATTTAAAAACAAACATCTTTTAGTCCAAAAATACTAACCAGCAGCTACAATAGAGCAGATATTCGAAATCAAATATAAGTATTTTACCTGCCTCCATAATTGTTGTTAATTGCTATAGCAGCGGTCATATGGGGTTGATGACAAAACTGGATTGCTAAAAAAACAGAGGAATGTAGGTAAATAAGAAAAAATGAAAACAGAAAATTAACTCCAATGAACTATAGCAACAAATACAACATAAGGTAGAGCTTAACCTGAGAAGTGGTCGGTGGCAACAACGTAGCTTATGGCTGGTGGTGAGTTACATCCTACACCACTAGAATGCTAACATAGAACAAGCAACACTGTAAGACCAAATGAGAGAGTATTTTCGTTTTCATTTTAAACTTTTTTTCATAACATAATCTTACCATTGATTCTACTCAAAGTTAAGTAACAATAGAAATTAAATGAACTAATAATTCAAATGATTTGACTTCTTTCAATGATTCGACTTTTCATTTTTTTTTAATATATTGTTCCTTATTTTCGTTTTCTGGTTCTTGTTTTTTTGTTCCTCAAAACCAAACAATACCTTAAATTCTTTTTCTTTTCTCTTCTTGTAGAAACCCACAATTTCAAATTCTTTGCCACAAAAGAGTAAACAAATGCCCATTTTGGTACAATGTAAAAACAAAGTAATAGATATTCTATAGTTCTAAAAGCCTTCCCATTTATATGATAGTCATTTCTTATTACCATGAAGTACACGATAATTCTCTAGATTAAATAAGATTTGCATTGACCCATAATCTAAACCAAGGGGGTAAAGTTTAAAGAAGCGTGCCACAACAAATTATCTCTAGATTACAAAAAAAAAAACCATGCTCACCCACAGTTACTCCTGCTTGCAAGGAACAAAAAATAGATTACACAATTTCCTCTTTGCTTATTTTTTTAAGGCAGGCAGAGAACCATTGAGACCAAAAAAATTAATCGACCACAGTTACCACTATCTAAACCTTTCATAATTTTGTTATAGCACTCCACAATAAGTATAAAGTTTCTTATTCTAACAGAGAAAAAATATGCAACACACTAATTTTCGGACAAAACCTACAAGTTCAAATTTTCTGAAAAATCCCATGTAACACAGCTAGTCTTGAAGTTGCACACTCTTTTTCTTCCTAGCTTTGAGCCACTAATGTCATCAAACCCTTTACCAAAACCCCTTACCAGAAATCATTCAAACCCACCCAACTGAAATCCACACATCCCCAATTCGAAGTAGCCATACAAACATGTCTAGGGCCGAAAGAGTTCCTATACATAGATTAGATTGGAAATCCTGACCTGTTCGTGGGTGTAACAGAGCTATAGAATCAACCCTTTAACTTCAACCATAAAATCAAATAGTATTACAGGGCTTGTACCAAAATAGGAAAAAAAATTAGGGAGCACAACAAAATAAAAAACTCGTAGTTCAAAATTCAAGGAAATTTTGTCCACATGCCTACCCTAAACTACAATAACATTAATCCAAGTTATCTCTCCAAGTTTTTATTTTCTTTTTTATAGGCGATTGTCAGTTGTTAGTTGTTAGATTAGCACCTATGGAAGTTAGCCTCCCCATCCTTTGCAAAGCACCAAGTGCTTGCCCCGTTAAAAACTCCCACTAGGGAGAGTTGAACATGACCTCCCCTAGGGACTAAGCCTTGGGAAAGACATGGTGGCCAACTAGGCTAGCAATCCACCATCAGCATTCCAAGGTAGGTAGGTAGGTACATTAGCATCAAGTATTTAGCAATTCATCAAGGTTAAAAAGTAGTACTTCACGAAGCATGAAGAGAATATACAACAATTTGTTAAATAAACTTCTAATCAAGGTTAAAACTTCAGCTGGTATCCTTCCGCATTAGCGGCGAGTGGAATGCCACAATCACACTATTATTGAAATGCCTAAAATAAATCCCATCTAGCATAAAATAGATTAGATACACACCTATTTTATAAAATGTGTTATTGACATTGGCAGCAGCTTTGGCAGAGGTGTCCATGAAGAAAAAAACAATTTTCCTCCAAATAGATATGTGCCTCTCACAAAATCATGTTGTTAAACCACATTATGCATAAATTCCAAACAATAATGCAAGATGAGGAGTTTAAATAGATATGCAATCATACATATACTTGCACACATTTCATGATGAAGTAATCATTAAAAAAAATTACAGATACAACATAAATAGAGCTAGTTTGAAAACATTGATCAGTAGAGGCTATAAAAAGCCAACCAAATTAATCTCTACGGTAAAAATCCCAAAAAAAAACAATCAATTAAACTGTATAGCAAAGCATGGGTCGATTCCACATGGATACACAATTAGCCCCCGAAAAAAATCACAAACAAACTTCTTTATTGAAGGGGAAACAAAATGAAATTGTGGTTTGTATTGGTGAAAAACATCCAGAACTGATTCCACCACCAAATAAAATTAAGTAAAATTTTAGGTCAAGTATAACAATGACATATAATACAGACAAACACTATTTGTTATTACCTTACCCCGAAGTGTTTCATATCATTTTTTAATACATTCTACTGAGTTTGACATGTAGCTAGTAGACAAGTACAAAAATGCCAAGCAATAATTTGTTAAGACTTGTACTTCCTATAGTTTTTCATTATGCTGAGATATAACAACTGTAGTTTAGTTCAAATGGAGATACCCAAATTAAAAGCGGATGGATCTTTTTATTCATGATGTGAACTAAAGAAACAAATGAGCTAAATTAACAGAGTGCACTAACAAAGAACAAAACAGTACCTGTAATGCTTGATGATCAAACACACAGGGATGAAGCAGAACAAGCAAACAACCCTTCAAAGGTGAAACACAAAAACAGAAGCCAGAAAAACAAATCTTACAAAATTGAAGGCTTCCACAAACGAAGAACATAACAGATAATAAATAATTAAAAAAACCCCATAAAACAAAACACTTGTGCATTTATTCTAACCTCAAGCAAACCAAAAGACAAAGGAAAATCAAGCAATAAATAATATAGTTATCAAAAGAAAACCAAACAAATTGAGAAAAAATGTATCAAATAATAAATAAAATATTGAACAAGAAATTGCGCGATAGGACTAAAAACTATGAAAATCCAAAAGTGCACACAAAATTACTAGGGCAAATTACACAAATAGTCCCTATAGTTTGGGGTTTGTGTCACTTTGGTCCCTGACTTTTCAATTGTGACACATTTGACCCTGAATTTTGAATCTTGTTCCAAATAAGGACAATTGAAGATATCATTAGATTTTTCAAGGATAAAATTGTCAATTTGATAAAATATAAACTAATTTGATAAAAATAAATGTCAAACAAATATTTTTGAATTTTTAAAAATTATTTCTACCCACTAAAAATAAAATTATGTTTATATGAGAAAATAGAACAAAATATGGGAAAGTTGATTTGAAGCTAAGACAATAATTTTGACTACAAAGCAATCTGAGAGAGAAACTTAGTCTCAAAGCAGACAGCAAGAGATATCCGTTTTTTCTAATCTCAAGCAATAAGAACCAAAAGTTATGAATTCTTTTCTCAATATTTCTTGGCAAACAAACAAATCAAAAGACAAAGGAAAATAAAGCAATAAATAATATATATATCAAATGAAAACCAAACAATTTGAAGAAAAAAATGAAATAAAAAATAAAATATTGAACAAAGAAATGTGAGTCATGAACATCATTGATAAATTCACAATAGTTTATATGTCATATAAATAAATAAAAAGGAGAAATTGGGAGAAACACGCCTATATATACTTCAATAATATCAACTAACGCAAAACAAATGAGAAAAAGAAACAAAATATGGAAAAAATTAATTAGAAACTAACATAATTTTAATTGCAAAGAAAACTAAGAGAGAAACTTAGTCTCAATGGAGATTGCGAGAAAGATATGTCCCTTTTTTCTAATCTCAAGCATTGAGATTTGAAAATCGTGAATTCTTTCTTAAGATTCCTTGGCAAACAAACAAACAAACCAAAAGACAAAAGAAAATCAAGCAATAGATAATATATTTATCAAAAGATAACCAAAAAAAAATTATAACATTTATCAAATAATATGGAAAATATAGAACAAAAAATTGTGAGATTAGAATATGAACTAAAAAAAAAATAAAGCAATATATAGAAAATTACCAAGTAATCAAATTAGAAAACTATTATTGATAAAGTTAAAAGAGTTTATATGTAATATAATTAACGGAAAAGAGAAATTTGTAGAACACCTATACAAATTTCAACACAATCAATTAAAATGAAAAAGTATGAGAACGTTAATTGGAAACTAATACTCTAATTTTGACAGAGCAAAGAAATTTGGAACAGAAACTTAGTCTCAATGAAGACTGTGAGAAAGAGATATCCGTTTTTTCTAATCTCAAAAAATTGAGATTCAAAAGTTATGAATTCTTCTCTCAAGATTCCTGGGCAAACAAACAAACCAAAAAATAAAAGAAAACCAAGCAATAAATAATATATTTATCAAAAGAAAACCAAACAACTTGAGAAAATTTATCAATTAATAAAGAAAATATAAAACAAAAAATTGTGAGACAAGAAAAGAACTACAAAAATCACACAGTATATACATAATTATCAGGTAATCAAGTGAAACTATAAAACAAAAAATTGTGAGACAAGAAAAGAACTACAAAAATCACATAGTATATACATAATTATCAAGTAATCAAGTTAGAAAACCGTCACTGATAAATTTGCGACAGTTCAAGTAATATAATTAAGGAAAATCAGCAATTGGGAGAAAGGCAATTATGTAAATTTAAATAATATCAATTTAAACAAATAAAATATGGGAAAACAAAACAAAATACAAGAAAGTTAACTACAAACAAAGACTATAATTTGATTGCAATAAAATCTGAGAGAGAAAGTCAGGAGTTGTTTGGGATGACCTAAATAAGGCCTCGTTTGGCAAGAGGCTATTTTAGCCAATTAGCCAAAAAGTTACTAAATTAGCCAAAAAGCCAACAACCCATACCAAAAAGTCAAAGATTCTCTTTTCTCTCTACTTTTTGCACATCTTTTTGTAATTAACCAAAAAGTCATCCCAAACATACAAGTTTTTTTTACTTACCTTTTTAGCCAAATAGCCAAAAAGTTACTAAATTAGCATGTTCCCAAACGAGGCCTAAGTATACTTTTTGTTTTTTTACGAAAAGATGTGCAGAAAAGTAGAGAGGTGATGTGATGGAAAAAAGATAAAAAGATAAAAAGATGGATTATTTTTGGGTTGCCAAACTTGGCCTCAGTCTCAATGGAGACTAGAAGAAGAGAAACCCTTTTTTTCTAATCTCAAGCATTGAGATCCAAAATATAAATCTTTTCTCAAGATCTCTTGGCAAACAAAATCAAGCAATAAAAAATATATTTACCAAAAAAAAAAAACAAAAAAAAATTGAGAAAACTAAATTTACAAGGCTAAGCAATGACAAAGGATTTTATTTACATACAATTCACAATTAACCAAAAAATGGTCATTGGCTTGGATAACCAAATTGGTGGCTTCACATAACAAGATCCATAGGATTGCACCCGCCCATTGATAGTGAATATCCTGTGGAGGCTAAATGGCCCATCTCACTAGCATAGAAAATGAAGGCAGAAACATTATTATGTAACATAAGTCAGTCCTACAAATCTACAATCAGTTGTGTACACCCATTCAGATTTTTTAATAATGTTTTCATTTTTCCATTTCAAAATTATGAGTGATTCAGATAATGGCATCTAATTTAATAACTATTCATTTTGTTTTTTGCTATTTATTAAATAAAGAAGTCCATGTCACTCAAGGAGAAACAAAACAGAGTTGAAGCCAGCCATACATGAACAATTGATGCTATCCCATCTTAAGTCTGAATGGCTCGTTAATTCCACTCCTACAGGTCAACTACCCATATACCACACACACAAAGCATAAAAAAGAGTACAATTCATAGCTCTAAACCCACCAATTACATGAATGATTCTATTTTTGTATATTTAGGCACGACATTCCATTTGAGCACTATCTTAGAAAAATGAAAAAGATGCCAAGTTCTTTACGCTCAGAAATAAATAATGCAACAAGTGCAAATCACAAAGACCATACGGACATATTTTCCAAATTACACAAACTTTCCTTCTTTATGCTATGGAACAAGAAAAATCACTTCATTAAGCCTCGTTTGGCAACTACATATTTTAGCTAAAAAGTCAAAAAGTCACTATAAATTGTCACATCACTCTATCTACTTTTCTGTACATCTTTTCGTAAAAAATTAAAAAGTTACTAAAATAGCCTATTCCCAAATGAGACCTAAATGTCCATTTGGTAACTTACACCAGTTAGGCATAGAGTGAGCAACGGAATAAGATTCATATAAAAATCTAGTGGGCCATGCTTTGTCTAACATGAACACAACCCATTGACAAGTCTAAACTAAAATTTATTAGAAACAATACTTTGTACTTGAGCAATTAACAAACATCAATTAACAATAAGTTTTAGATTGTATTTCATTTGGGCCTATAAGTCAATCCAAGTCTTCTTGGCTCAAAAAGGCCAGTGGTGCATTTACAATGCCAATGTAGTTCACTAGCAAACTTAAAAATAAGCATACAAGTTTTTGTTTTTGTCAAGCAAATTCCAGCCAAATATGAAAATTATTTTTTTGGATGGATAAGTCATAAATTAAATACAAAGAATGTACACATTTACAAGGGATACACCCTAGGTAATAAAACGAAAACCACAACTATAACCCAAATTTGCCCATATATCCTCATTTTTTTCCCAAGTTACCCCTACCATCAAAGATAATAGATAAAAACTTAGGGAAGATATATGGGCAAGAAACCACATAAACTACATAATTACAAATTGAAACACATACATAAACAGAAATAAACACACTAAAGCATCCACAAATATCAATCAACTATGCTAACCTCCCCCATAAGCTCCCTGTCTCTACCATGGATAGAACATAGAGTTCAATAAGCATCTCGCACCTCATAGCCACTCACCATTCAATGGTATCTTGACAGGAACTGAACAAGAAGAAGCAATACTAACCTACGTTACCAAAAAACGCTAATACCTTAACAATTACTTATTGGTATGCAAGTTCCAACATATGGTACACTTACGTTCCAAAACGGTAAATTTATCAATCTGAAATGATCCCAAAAGTTTTTTTTCTAATAAATTTCCTTATATGTTTCCTTAGGAAGAAAAAAATCACAGATAATAAATTAAAATCTAAGATAAGTTAAGTTTGACAAGACAAAACACAAAAAAATGGGTCATAATACTCATAAATGTTTTGCAACATGAAGAAAAAAAAACTAAATTTTATTAGATGCCTAGTAGTTAAAAGAAAATTACTCTAAAAATACATTACTCTAAGGTACCTTAAATTCGCAAGTATAATATATACAAATCTACCACTATTGTGTCACATTTTAAAGCATCTAGCATACCACATTCCCGTTCCTGTTTCCCATACCGTAACGATCCACATTTCAGATAACATAGCTACCAACAATAGAAAAACAAAATTCACTATTAATTGGCATTAAATGCAAATACAAGGAAACAAAAATACCCAAACACAAATTGCAATCCAAACCCATAACACATAGACATGGAAGCAAATATACAAACACACATACAGATATCCCAAACATTTATAGATACATAAATATGTAATGCTAAACCTAGAGAGATACAAAGATTTCAAAAAACAGGTAAGTGAGATTAAAGAAATACGGAAAACCTGCCAAAATTGGTCTATACAAGCGACCAATTGTAATACCAAACAACGGGACAATAATATCGAAGAATGCCTCAGATTCACTTTCAGCCTATGTGCATATATAGAAAATCAACACCATGGGTCCAGTTTCGACATCTCAATCAAAGTTTAAGTCAAATCGATTCAAAGAACAGAAAATAATTAATGTGTATGATAAAGTTCTAATTGATAGAAAAACTAGAGGACGTAGGGTTTTAGAGAGTACCTTTGGAGAAAATCAGAGGGAAATGTCGAGGGTTCGGTAGCAGGGGCTGTGATAAATTAAAATGCACATAATAAAACCCTAATTAGGGCTTGTATGTATAGAAGATTTTGGTGTTCCAGTTGTCGTATTCCTGTTGTGCCTTGTTTGAGATCTTCGTTAGGTTATTTTAAATTTTGGTTATTTTAATAAGTTTAAATATTTGTGTTTAAAAGAAAGTTGGATTTTTTTAATAGTGTGTGGTGATATTTATGGAATAAAAAATGAAATGACGATGAATTTAATATGATATTTCATTTTATTGATTATTTTAATTTATTTTATTTTTTGTGAATTTTAATTCAAAAAAATAAAAACTTAGGTAATGTTTAGTAGAGTTTTTTAATTATTATTTGATAATAGAGTTGTATTTTGAATTTGTGAGTTTTGAAATTATGATTTGAGTGAGAAAATTTTATTTAGTTATGAATTTTAAAAAGAGTTTTGAATTGAGTTTTGGTGAAAATTTTGAGTTTTTGAAATTAGAAAAGTTATTTGATTCAAAAATGTACAACTCATAACCAAACGTACAATCTAAAATTTTATTTAAAACTCGTATAAAAATTTAAAAATTTTCGAAAATATTTTTTATTTACAATATAAAAATAACAAGTGTCCAAAAAAAAAAAAAACCGAACACTGTTCTAATCAACCAGCCGAACGTCCGGGAGGATGACCGGGTTAACTAAATTTTTCCGTTGAGAAAAAAGTTTTCAAAAGTAAATATAGAATTATAATTTAAAAACGTAAAATAAACACTGCACTCAAATGAGTGAGTAAAAATATGTTTGGAACACATAACCAAACACAACCAATTTTTAGCTTCCAAACACACCCTCTTTATAGACTGGACAGAGAGAGAGAGAAAATACATAATAAAATTTTAAATTATAAATGTATTCTTACTTAAAATACTTTTGTAGTTTGAAAAATTATAAATATTTTTTATCATACTTTTTATTTAATAGAATTAATTGAAAAAAATAAAATTTTTAACTACTTTTATATACAATAATAAAATTATATGAATTATTAATTAAAATAAATTTTTAACACCATTAAAAACTATTATTCTATATAATAATAAAATTACATAAATTGTTAATTGAAATAAATTTTTAATATCATTAAAAATTATTAATTAACTTAATGATTTATTAATAAATAGATCATTTGTTATGAAATTAAAAATTTCATAACAAATGTGTGTTTGTAATTAAGGAGTGAAATTAAGGAGTGTGTTTGTAATTTACTCAAATTTTAAATTTATTGTTTAATATCACATTTTTTTTTTCCCCCTTTTGATCAAGATTGGAGGATGTTAGTAAAGTTAAATTACAAGTAAAGGGGCCGTTTTACTCTACCAAGCTCGAACCCTTGGACATTTCTCTCACCGTCGCACATCTCAAACATGTATATATTATGATCTTGTTTGAGAATAAATTATTTTAATAAATTTTTTATGAAAAGACGTAAAGAAAAATAAAAAAAATAATTTAATAATTTATAATAATTTTTTAACTATTTTAATCACCCTCCAAACGGAGGCATCTCCAATAGAAATTTAAAAATAATAATAATAATATCAAAATAATGAAAATAATAATATTAACCTAATAAAATTCACTGTGTTAATCTTAAATTAGACAATAAAATTTCACAATCACCATCACAAAAAGGTATATAGAGTAAAATTGTAGTATTAACCTACCTAACAAATAACAAAATAACTTCCAACAAACATTATTGATGAAAATTTCAATGCTCATTTACTTGTTGTATAAATGAATTGTTGTACAAATTGTGTGATAATATAAAACAAATAGATTCATATGGAGCAAACAATTAGAATTTCATAAACAAGAACATCGTGGAATTTACAAAAATTCATAATAAAATAAAACTAGCAAAAGGAAGCAAACCGAAGCTTGCACTAGACAGTATCCTTAAAACAGATTCGTCGCTTCACCGATTAGGTGCTAAAGATTGTTCGACGTCTGTCTCCCAGGATACGACGGTTGGACCAACTACGCAATGCACTGACTGAATAGTTTCGGCGAACAAAACTTTGCAACATTCTCTCACAAGAAAAATATAATATAAAACTGAAAAAAACTTTTGACAGGAAGAGCAACAACTTTTCTAGTGTAGAATGCTAAAGGAGAGGGCATCTTTTTATACACATGAAGAGAGAGAGGAAAAGGCACTTGCAACAAATGCAAAAGATTTGATTTTGCAAAACTCCTAATTGACGGCAAGACTTAATTTTGCAAAACTCTCAATTGATGGCTTTAATTCATCATCATTATATAGGAGTTACACCCATTTCATACACATGTGTAATGTGTATAATTCTGTAGCCACCTTTTCCAACACCTCTTTCATGGGGCCAACTTAATGAGTCAATTTCTTATTCAAATCTTAATGGTTTTTAGTCACTCTTTTTGTGGTGTAAAGATTTCATTACAAAAAAATCTAAACCCACTTTAATCTATCTCAATTGAGGACTGACACCATTTTAATATTGCATTAAAGTCACCAAAAAATCATTATTTTTCCAACTATCCCCACATGAATAAAAATTGACCGAATAACAACAAACGGACAACGCTTAACAACAAAGACTCGAAGAGAGTGCAACAAAATAACCCCCGCATCGGAAGGGATAGCTTTTGGCTTTGAACCTCTCCTAGTGAGGTTTATCAGATTTACTAGTTGTCCAGTGAATACAAAGTCTTGAATTGTTCTGTCATTTATGTAAATCAAGACAACAGACTTCACACATGAATTATTCCAACCATCGTTCTGTTCTCACTGTTGTGTCTGATTTGGCCCTAGAACACTAGCCTAATTCAGTGAGTGGTTTAAAGAATCAGGTCCTATCAATTCTTATAGAAGCAGCCCCACTTCACACTCACGTAGATGACTCTACTTGAGTATCCTGCTATACTCAGCTTAACAGCTCAACACATTAGAGTCATTAAAAGCTCAGCTTAACCTCTACACCTGCAGGTATCACTGATAAAAGGAATGGTTGGAGGTTGTCCCATTGACCCTAGATATTGGGATCTCCAGTCAATTAAGTTGGGTTTCCATTCTAGTAATACCTTACACTACAGGTCATAAACCCATTCTTTCTAACGACTTCTCTACTAACATTCGATTGAACCCTTTGGTTAGCAAATCTGCACTGTTGTCCTGAGATTTTAAATAGTCTAAAGTGACAACTTCATTTGAGAGTAGTTGTCGTATAGAATAATGTCTACGACAAATATGTCTAGACTTTTCGTTATACATATTACTCTGTGCCCGTCCAATCGCTGATTGGCTATCACAATGAATACAGATGGCTGGCACAAGTTTCGACCAACGTAGAATATCCTCAACGAACTGGCGAAGCCATTCAACTTCTTCAATTGCTTTATCCAAAGCAATAAACTCAGATTCCATTGTTGATCTCGATATATACGTTTTTTTGGAAGATTTCCAAGACACGACTACCCCTCCGAGGGTAAACACATAACCACTAGTGGATTTGGAGTCTTTTATATCAGATATCCAATTAGCGTCACTATACCCTTCTAGTACCGCTAGGTATCTACTACAATGCAGCCCATAATCCCGGGTGTAACGTAGATAACCTAATACCCGCATAATGCCTCTCTAATGAGTGGCATTCGGATTACTCGTGTATCTACTAAGCCTACTAACAGAGTAGGCTACGTTTCGCCTTGTACAACTCATCAGATACATCAAACTTCCAATGACTCGAGAATATTCTAGTTGAGAGACACTCACCATTATTTTTGGTCAAATGTAGACTCACATCTACCGGTATCCTAAACACACTTGTATCTGATTTACAAATTTCTCAAGTATCTTCTCCACATAGTGAGACTTAGAAAGTACAATACAACTAGAAGTTCTGGTAATCTTGTACCTAGAATGACATCTATAAGGCCTATATTTTTCATGTCAAATTTGGAATTTAACAATCTCTTGGTAATTCTAATCATTTCATCATTACTACCAACAATGAGTATGTCATCAACGTATAAAATGACATAACCTTTGTCCGTGTCTTTAACATATATGCGCTTGTCACACTCATTGATTCTAAATCCATTTGACAACATAACATTGTCAAACTTCTCATGCCATTTCTTAGGAGCTTGCTTCAAACCATACAATGTTTTGACAAACTTACAGACTTTCTTATTTTATCCTGGAGCTGAACACCTCTCAGGTTGCTCCATTGTAGATTTCTTTATTCAAATCTCCATTTAAAAAAGTTGTCTTTACATCCATCTGATGTATCTCCAGACCACGTAAGGCTGCTATCACAATCATCATGCGAATGGATGTAATCATTGTTACAGGTGAATATGTATCAAAGTAATCCAGGCCTTCTCACTGCCTATATCCTTTGATAACTAGTCTAGCTTTATACTTATCAATTGACCCATGAGCTTTCATATTTCTTCTAAAGATCCACTTTGTCACGACCCAAACCCGCCCCCTTAAAGTTTAGCGACGTAACCGACCAGTAATCCTGAGATTACCCAAGGCCTCTTAACAGAATAACAAAAATATAAGGGGCTGCGGAAGCAATTATACAAAATACAAAGTCCATAGAGCTGTGAAGACGTACATGAGGCAAATAAGTTTTAAACTTATATAATGTCAAACTTCCATAAAACTTATATCACCATACATATAATGTCATGAGGGACTTAGCCCAACGTACAAATAAGCAAAGCAACTAACAAAACATCTTCATGAGGTTCACAAAACTTGACTTCTCAAAAGGGACCCCCCCGGGAGGCACAGTGGTTGGTTGACACAAAACACTCCAGGTAGCAACTTAAGCCTGGTCACACGCCTGCTCACCTACATACATAATATAAATAGTGAGCGGAAGTCCAATGAATAATAACAGAGTAAAGGGTTTAAATGAATGATGTTTATAACAGATTCAGAAATCAGAGTTCATATCAAAAACAGATGTATATTCATATTCTTGTTCAAACTACATACAGAAATAAGAGTTCATGCTTAATCATACATGGTACATCCATTAGCGTTATCATGCTTGTTAGTTCCATAAGGAACCTCTGGTACCGAG